CTGGAGAGCAGATTCCAAATGCAGGTGTTGACACAGCGAGAGTGAACGGACCCAAGGAGCCAGGTGGAGGGGAATTGACTCTTTTATTCTTCCCTTTAAAGGCCTCTGTCCTCCTGCAAGCCTGCCTAGGAGGTGACTTTTCACGTTTGTGACACAGTGGGAGTGTTCTCTAAGACATAACCTTGCCTGACTATTTAGCAAAAAAACTTGGAGAATATGGAGGTAATATATAAAGTTTCACCTCCTAATTTTGCTGTAATTCTGACAAGCATTTTTTCCACATATGTACATACATGTATATATATATACACATATATGCACATTCCATATATACAAATATATATATTTCTTGCCCTTTCTCTAGAAATTTACAAATTGGAATTTTGTTATGTATACAGAATTACATCCTTGCATCACTTAATCCTATGTCATTGGTGTTTATCATTTCATTAAATATATTCCAAAAGTATGATCTTAATAGCTTAATAGAATATGTGATATTTCATTGTATGGTTATATCATAATTTAATTAGCAAGTCCTGCTTTTATCCATTTGGGTTCTTTCCAGTTTTCAACAAATATTTATTTTCAATGAATATTCTGCAGCAAACAATTATGTGCTATTCTGTCTAGTCTCTGACTATCCTTGAAATTGATTCCCAGAAATGGAATTAATGGGTCCAGAGTTTCTGAACATTTTGGATCCCTCAATATGATATCTAGTAGATTCCAGAAGAGCTGGGTCAATTTGCTGTCCTTCCGACAACTTATTCAAGTTCATCCTTCGACCACAGCACTGAGTATTAGCTTTTAAGAGAAATCTTTTCTAATTTAATAGGTGAAAAAATTTGAACTCATTATTTTAATTTGATATGTATTTGGAGTGAGAATGAATATGACGTCTGAAGTTTGCTGTTCACCTCTCTTGTTCCATTCTGAATTTGCCCATTTTTCTTTGAGGTGCTCATGACTTACTTATTAGCAAATGCTCATTGTATATCAAGGTGGAAACCCTTTGTTGTGATGGTTGCAGGTGTCTTTCCTCTCTCTACCACAGGCTCCATCCCCACCTCGGCCCTCTGTCCTACCAGCCTTCTAATAGTGGCATAGGGCATGAAAGAACTTGGAAACACAGGTTTTGATTTCAGCTTTGGCTACCGAGTCATGCTCCATGATGGCTAAGTGAGCTGCACTAATGCTCTGTTGTTCACAGTGTGCCAGGAGTGGTCTGGTGGGGAAGCTTAGTGGGAGACACGCAGGTCTCTTCCGTCCCTGTCTTTCTTTTTCCGCCAGTGCCTCTAACTTTGTTATTCAGTATAACCCATGTTTTCTGGTATCCAAAGTCATGACTCATTTCTACCTCCGTCCTCACCCTACCAAGGGGACTAACAAGCTAACTTGGACTGGGCCCTTGCTGGGTGCTGGCTGCTAAGCTCTGCCCTTGCAGCCCAACCCCTCTGGTACTGCCTCAGTGGGCCTGGGAAGAACCACCCTCCTCACTGGCACCATGTGACCAGCTTGGTGTACCCTGCCCCCACTGCAGATGTCACATGGACACAGGGACACCTGTGCACACAGGCTTTGTGGTCTCATCCTGTGTGTGGGCCACATGTCAGCCTGAAGATGCCTCTTCAGAGGACTCTGGAGTTACAAAGGCCCTGGAGGCGACAAGCCTCTGGCCCCAGTTTGAGGAGTGTGGCTGTATGATATTGGTTTTGTCCTGAAAAGGTCCTTGTGAGTCCTCTGACCTCTCCTAGACAAGCCAGTTTCTACTTACAGCCTTACCAGGTGGGCTGGCATACTCAGACACTGGGTGAACCAGTTGGGATTTTCCTGGAAGTGATCTCTCCCTTTGGTCCAGGTCGCCTTTCCTCTTTACTTTCTGAGGACATCTGAAACGTGCATCAGTGCAGTTGGGACTAAAGACTTAGACTAGCATCTGCCCTGGTCCTTCTGGCCCTGAGACCTGGGGTCATCTAACCTTTCTGAAGGCAGTACTGCCACCTGGATGTGGAGTACCAGCCCCATGTCGACTGCTTCTGGAGGACCAAGTGAGCTGGGGGTGAGCAAAATGCTCTGCTACCCACCCAGCCCTGCACAGGTGGGTGCTTGCCACTTCTTGGCGTGTAGAGCAAATGGCTCACTCTGAGGATTATTGTTTAAAGGTGGTCTCTAGAGAATCAAATCAGAAATGGTGTTGTCTTCCTTCTAAAGTGGTGCCTACCCATCTCCTGTCGCTGGCCCCACTCTTTCCTAGAGGTTCACTATGCCCTTCCACACCCATACTGAGTCCCAGACTCAGTGGGACTTTTGTCTCCCCCATCAGCTGCTCCATGGTGGTCAGCTGCCCCACAAAGCCATGAGACAGTGTGGGGGCCAGTATGCAGTGTGCACTCCTCAAGGAGGACAGCCTCTGGGAGGCTGAGGTAGTGGCCAGGACAGCTCCACAGAGAAGCCACTGCAGCTGCCTGGGGCACGCCTGGGGCACGCCTGGGCTTCTGTGGGATCTAAACTGTATGGCTGAGGTGGAGTCAGCCAGTTTTCTCCATGCCCATCTTGTAAGGTCTTGGAGCTGGGGGGGACTGGGTGCCTGGATGGCTCTGTGTCCTGCAGAGCAGCTAGCATGGCAGGCATGGTGTGGATGCAGGAAGGAGGACACCAACCTGAATTTGCTACAAGTACAGGCGAATGCTCTTTTGGGCTGTGAGACCTAGGGGTCACTGGAGTTGGCTGAGGGCACCGTCCCCAGGTTACTAAGCTGTGGCTGATTTCAGAACTGATCAGCCCGTTCTTGACATGGATTCGTTTTGTGGGGACTGGAGCGCTAGGGTACTCTGAACCACATAAGAGTGTTCATGGGTCCAAGGCTACCCCACCTCTGCTCCACCAATGAGCCCCACTCCTGATTGTCCCCAAGCCGGGGATGGGGCACAGGGTGGGGGTTGCTGTGTCCATCCTTGCTCCTGGCCCTGGAATGGCAACTGGCTCCCTGTGAAACCCACAGCTCTACACTGGGGCATGACAAATGACCAAAAAATCAATTTGTAATCTGATTGGAGGTTTTTGATTTCCTCTGATGAGTTTAAATTTCATTAAAAGCAACCTTATTCCAACATAAAAGGAATCCTTGAAGGGTAAAACAGGGGATTGTCTCACCGAGTAGAAAGCATCCCTACTCTTTTGTGTGATTTATTCATGGCATTAATTGTGAGGGCCAACCCGTGGTGTCTGTTGGCAGCGGTGCTGTTATCAGGGCCTGGGATCGGGCCGGCGAGCTCAAAGCACAAGGACTCACATTCAAAGATCGCTCTTTGGCGTATTGACACTTCAGTTATCAACAACCCTTTTCATCTGCTGGGACGGAGTTCGCAACTCACGGGGCCAGAATAGGCTACAAATCAGCGCGGCCGCCTCTCTGCGTCTCCTGATTGTATGTATTCTCTGAAAAATGATCGTCATGGCCTCTCATCTTGATGAGAAATTGACATTTTCTGAGGACTTCTTGGGCACTGCGAGCAGGGGAGATAAGGCTCGAGTTGTTCTAGAAGAGGGCGGCCTTTCTTCCCTTTCAGGGGCCTCTTTATTGCCCTCACTGATCCACTTGACGAGTATGGATTTCATGAGGTCTTTTTCAGCATTTGAACTATAAAAGGTTCAGAATGACACCACCCCTTATAGACAAAAGATAACCTTGCCCTTTGAATATATTGATTCTTTATTAACTAGGCTGTTTAATGCAATGAAATGAGGCATTAGATTGAAGCCCATTTCGAGTGCTTTGAATAATCTTTAAAAGCTTGAAAGACCTTAAAAGGTGGCCTGACAATAATTGGTGTACATTTTGAGAGAATGTAGTTCTCGCTTCTGATGGGAAACACAAGCATAAAATAACTTCTCTCCCTACGTTACAGGGCCCTAGTGCTCCAGCTCCAAGAAACGGTATTCCCAGGCCCGGCTCACTGGGAAGGGAAGGGCAGGATGGTGGTGACACTGTCCCCAGCCTCAGTAACTCGGGAAGAAGCCTGCAGGGGTGGGGTGGGCCCAGGTAGATTTGTACCCCATGGCCTCTTTCTTTTACTGTCTCTTTAAGGCTGGAAGGAGACTGCAGTCAGAGAAACCTGACTGTTGATGACGGGAGAAAAAGGTATTCACAAGTTTCTTTATGTTTTGAATAATTGTTTCTTGTTTTGCTCAGCAGAACAAGTAATTAAGATGACATTTGTGAATACCAATTTAGATCACACTTATGTGGATGTGTTACAGAGCTGCAAGCCAAAACATGCAAAGCCAGACTTTCATTGAGGACAGAATGAAAACAGCCAGCGAGAGGGAATGGGAGCAAGGGGAACTCGCAGGAGCTGTGTAAATTAGAACCTGAGGTGGGGCCGACCTCATTAGAGTCGGGGCACTTGGCTCCGCCTAGGCGCCTGCTGACAGTGGCCAGCACAGGGCACAGGGTTGGGTGTGTCACTGCGCTGGACACCAATGGGTGCTGGTGTGTCCTTGGTGTGTCACTGGGGTGCCCTGGCTTCTGTTCACTGCCCAGAGCCTCCATGACCAGTTCTCCTGACCCGGTTCTTGCCAAGTGGGTGGGACACAGAGAATGGAGGTCAGAGAGGCAAATATTGGGGAAGCCAGAGCAGTCACTATGTGCCAAACCCTCTGGTTCAGACGGAGGGGAATAAGGGAGCAGGGTAATCAACCCCACCCCTTGGAATCGTTTGCATTCTCAAAAACCAGAGCAGTGGAACAGTACTTGTGCCACCCATGCACCCATGCACGTACAACACACAGCCCAGACTGGGTGTGAAGGCAGCATGGGTACAGGTGGCACCCTCGGATCAGAGCATCTCAGGTGAAGTGTGTTCTGGGCGTTAGATGACTGAAGATCCATGACTTTGTGGCAAGTTCTTTGAAGGATCATTTTGATCTTGATCAAGACTCAGCTCTGGAGCCCAAGGTGTACAAATAAGCCCCCAAAGGAACTCGCATGTGTTCATTCAGTCATTTAATAATCAAAGCAGATAAGATTACCAAAAGTGAAATTCACAGACAAGAAATACTTTAATTAAATATTGTGTAAAATGAACATTTTATACAGTTAAATATCTGAAAAATGTACAGATAAAACAATCTTATTGTAGGGTCTTTGACAGCAAAATCTACCATTTAGTGAAGCGTTCACTTTCGAGACAATGAAGCAATGAGGGTGCTGACTAATCGATCTGAAACACAAACCAAGTGCGACTCGAGGATACCTGCCGATGTTCTCGGCGCGGCACAGGAGCTCTTTCGCAGATCAAACCCTTACTTACACAAAATGAAACGGAGGCAATTTAGTTCCAAAGTGACTTCTCAGGCTTTTCCACGTAGCTAAGCCTTGTCAGCTGTCACAAAGGAGAGTTTGTAACCCGCTGACCACTGGGGACATTCTGCTTATCGAGTCCCTTAAATGAACACTTTCTAAGTTGCACATTGTTATTTTTTTGTCAAGAAAGTTTTTTTAAAGTCCCTCCTTTTTATGTTTTAAATTTGATTTCTGCTGCAATTGGCAAAATGCTTGCTGTGCTGTCTGCAAAGCATTTAGTGCAAAGGAAGAAGGAAAAAAAAAAAAAAAAAAACACCTGACCCTTTTGGTCTCGCTGTGGGTTTGGCACTAATAGGCACAGTGTCTGAAGGAGGTCACTCCAGTTTACAAAGTACAGACAGTGCTGTTGGATCTGACCACAAAAACGTATCACTAAAAAAAAAAAAGAGAGAGAAAGAGAGGGAATTAAAAACCAGCCATGATTTGGGTTTCCCCTGAAATCTGAATCCCAGGTGGGCCTGAGATGACGTGGAAAGCAGCAGAGACAGACCCGGAAAGGAGCGACCTACAGACAGGAGGTTTGTGCTTTTGTGTGTGTGGGTCTGTGTGTGTGTGTGCATTTTACATCAGAAATCTCCAAACGAAATAGTAACAATTGTGGTGTAAGCCTGTGACAAAATAGCACAGATGTTCTTCAAAGAAGTCCACTTTTAAGGCATCAGAGAAGTTAATGTGGCAAACGTTTTAATTAAAACATCAGAAGTAAATTTTATTTTAAACTTTAGGCCTCTGAATTTTCCCAGTAAACACAGTTCAGCTATGTGGCAGTCATGGGTGGCAGCTAACATGACTTTTTACATTCTACAAAAAATAAAATAAAATACGGACACAGCCCCAGACGGTGTCGCCTCTTTGCAGCCGCTCCACATGCACGGGGTCTACTAGGATTTGTTGCAGCTGGTGGCACCGCTTTCTTTTGACTATACAACAAACTTTTTTTTTTCAAAAGTATTTGTTCAGATAACTTAAAAATAATATAAAAATAAACAATGAATTTGACTTTTCCTCAAAATAAAAAAAAAAGGATGGAAAGTCTAAACAATAGCAAATGTTTAAAGTACAAATGAAATGCAAGATATAGGTTCATTTTAACAAAACAGATAAGAGACAGTTCTTGGCTCATGCTCTTCCCGGTGTCACAACACTGGGCCATGGCCAAAAACCAACACGGACAAGAAAAAGAAAAAGGTGGGAAAAGCAATGTACAAAATTTCAAAGATAAATACAATATTTATAATTGATATGTTACAAAGTAAAGTCCTTCAGCAACTGTAAGTGTTCATGGGAAAGTAAGTGTTGAATGAAGACCATTTTATTCCTTATAAGATACATAAGAAATAAAACTCATTTTTTTCTAAATATTTAAGTGGATCTGAAAAAAATTCAAGACAAGTGTATAAATATTTAGCTACAACTTTGGCAAAATCACAAAAGTCTACAATTTTATAACCACATACAAAACACATTGGGGAAGAAGGTTCTAGAAGTTAAAAGGACAATTTCTGGTACAAGAAACATAGACCTCACAGTAGCCTAAGAATGCAATAGTATACAGTACTAGCAAAAGTTGAAAAAATGTCGCAGATCGCACTTGCTTAACAGGAAGCTCTAGCAGTGGGGGAATATTGGAACCAACAGACAGTAGCGTTTTTCTCTGTCAGTGTGCTTGTTGAAGGCAAGAGATCAATATCAAAGTTACAATTTCTAACTACAATAAGTTACAAAGTTTCGTCTCGTTAAGATGAAGTTAAGCAATGATAAACCCTCCCTCCCTCCCTGCCACCCCAAACTCTCCTAATTCATACCGTCATCCTTTGTTCCAGCTTGATGGCTCATACCTCCTTGGCCCCTTTTTTCACCACAAAAAAATATTTCACATTATAGAGATACACAACCATTGTGAATCTAAGTATGAGTACAGAAAAATGTCGGGAGGCATTTTCCTCAGTGTTTCATGGTCATCAAAATGGTGCATTCACGAAGATTCTCCCCACACAGATAGCACGTACTAGACAGCCAAGACGGAGTCAGAAACTTTATACAAAATAGGCGCTGTTTTGTTTTCCTTATTCTTCAGGACTGAGAAGTGTGAAAATATGAGAAAAGTTCACTCAATAAAATGGAATTGTTCATGAAGGAGTTAGGGTGTCTGCATGTTGATTCTTATTAGTTTAAATAAAATCTTTAAACAAAGTCTTTTGTAGCATTTCAACTGCTGCTGATCGTTTGGAGATATAGATTCCATCAGCATGTCTTAACATACTACACGTGTCCCCTGAAGTCCGTCCTTGGATGCTGGGTTGCTGTGAAGGTAAACAGAGTCCCTCACATGGGCGGAACTACCAGCCCAGACATAGCTGCAAGAGAGAAGGAGACAGCAGTCACTGCCAGCCACCCCACACTCATGCCCTCCAGTGGGCCCTGCTTGCCCGCCTGTGCTGTGCCCCACAGGGAGGCTGCGTTTGCCTGGCTCTCCGGTAATTCCAGACTTGGGTGGGGTAAGGTGTGCTGGGAAGTCTACTTGCTGGGGTGGGGTGGCTTGTGTTGGTGACACAATCCTCACAGGCCTCTCACCCTGCAGCCCTCCTCAAAGTTGCCTGCAAAAGCGAAAGGCTCTGGTGCTTTTGCGTGCAGGGAAGGGGCTGCTTCCTCACACTCACTACCTTGGCCCTCAGTTCAAAGCCAAGGGAGGCTCACACCTGGGGGAAGAGAGGAGACCTCTGTCAAGAGACAGGAACCAGCCTGGTCACTTCTGTGACACCAGCCCAAGCTTGCTTGCAGGCCCAGGCTCTTCCTTCCCTAAGTGGAAACCGGACTTGCCTCAGTTTCCCCCTCTGCCTGCGGGCCCCGGCTCTGACCTTCTGCTAACTGTTCTGTAGCGTAATGGTGAGTCAGGGGCTCTCAGATCAAAGCCGCTCGCAGCCCACCTGCTCTGAAATTTCAAGGCCAAGGGCCATGAAGAGCTGGAACTCATGGTGTGGCCACAAGGAGCGCTGTTTTCTCTTCTTAGAATAAAAGAGTAAGTTTGCACTAAAATGCTAAGTGCGGCCAAAGCTTTGGCGTGAACTCCTGGCAAGAAGGTAATTTGAGATCTTTTAACTCTAATGTTGTTTAATTTTTGTCAGAATGATCGTTCTCATTAGTTTATGTATAACACATTAATACATTTGTCCATGCACTGATATGAGCTTCAATTTCTCAGTCCATTAATTTCAACAATATTAATTTATCTCCGACTCACCGTTACAACTTTACGGTTTGGAAGGCCTGTGTGTACACACCGCTTACGTGGTACCACCTAGCCGGCCTCAATGCGTCCACAGACACCTGGCCCCTCACTGCCTGACTGCTCAACAGCGCTGGCCTGGTGCCCACTGACAGCTCAGAGGCCGGGCCGGTCGGCAGCACCTGGGGCCTGGGTGTCCCATCAGACACTGACAGATGTTGTGAAGACAATTAGTTCAAATCACTGATACCTTTCCAGTTCCTTTTTTGAGCATTAGTTCATCAAAGTGAAATATGCCACCGACTTCACAAAAGGGCCAGTTTGTCTTCTCCACGGCTGCGTCCTCAGCACCCAGCAGAGAGCCTGGCACATAGTACGCGCTCAGTAAATACTGGTTCAATGGATTCAGGTTTTTAAAGGAGAAACTGGATTTGCTTTTCACTGGGAGGAGCATATACCAAAGGTGGTGTCTGAAAGAGGCCAGACGACGGCCGCTTAATTCAAGTGCCTGTGGGCCACCAGTGCGCCACAGGGAGCCACACACAAGCTCTAGGGGCCCCCATGTGGCTCTGCTACCACACGCACCCGGGACCATGGCTCAAGTGCACTGCCCAGAGGGGTAGGACACTGGGCAGCACTAAATGCCCACTCCACACGGCCCTGTCTGTGGACAGCTGTGTCCAAGCAGTGCCTCCCATGCCCTCGGGCCAGACCAAAAGAGATCTCTTACAAAACTCAAGACCTGTCCACAGACAGGCTGCAACCCAGCGCTGGTACACAGACCACCTGGGGTTTTGAAGGGCCTCGTGGTCTTTCTGGTGAGGTTGGGAAGGAAGACTCAGCCTCAGGACAGTGGGAGTGGGCAGGGTTTGCAATGGGCTCCCCAGGTGGCATAGAGACCCGCCTTCCCCATTTTCACTGCCTCTGAACAAGGAGGCCACAAGCGCAGAAGCTACATGGGAGGGGCCGCACCCTGCATTGACAAGGGCCAGGCCTGTGGGCCGCGTGTGGAAGAACAGGAGTGTGACCGTGTTCACCACAGCCTCGTTTGCTCTCACACGTGGTTCCACCCTTGGGGTCCAGGAGGCTGTACTGTGAGGACACTGGTTACATAGGTAGGATGAGCTGGGCAAAAGGTGTGAGGTGGAATCTGGTGTTTGTTTGGGACTCAAGGACTGGGTGACCATTACACAGGTACAGGGTGGGGTGGCCGTGGACCAGTGGAGTGCATGCATTGCCATGGCGTGACAGCAGTCAGAGAAGGTGCCGGAGGGGCCAAGCGCCAGCCTGCCGCCCTCACCTTGGAGTCCGTTCCCATTGGCGCTGGTGCAGGAAGGAGGCGGCGAGGCTTGGGGCCGGACCACGGGCGCAAAGGCGCTCTTCTGTTTCACTGCAGAGATGACATTGGCAGGTGAGAATGAGAAAATGCCGTGTGTGCTGCTACAGTTTGAAGGGAGGGTGACCGAAGAGGCTGCCATGGTAGGGCTGGACGGCACTACTGCAACAAAGCAAACATGGTCAGCACGCGCGGGCCGTGGCGTAGCACCACGGCGAGAGCACTGTGAGCCTCGCCTTGCACGGGGAGGGGCCACAAAACAAGACACGGCATGCTTCTGGCTCGACCACTCTCTGGACAACAGGCAAACGCTTTTGTGTTGGGCTTTCTCTTCCAATTGAGCAGCCCCGTTTGGTTCTGATTTTGGTTGGGGCTGCCAACGAGATTGGCATCGGGGCCTGTTTTAGGTCAATTTTTGTGGTCGTCATTTGGACGCCCAGCCTCTGGGGCCACCCTTCCTTTTATCCAGTAGCTCACATCACAGAACATCCAAGCAATGCACACACTCGACTTTGTAGTGAATATGAATCTGTGTGATGACGTGTGACAAAAACAGACACTTACTGCCGTAGGGAGAGTTAGCGGAGGAGCCATTAAGAAATCCAGGCGAGCCAGGGACCCCTAGATTGGCCATGGCGCCACTTCCATATCCATTCATGCTAGTGCTCACTGTGTTGTAAGAGGACTGCTGGGGAGTAGTGCTGGGGACGTATCCTCGCGGGGACACGCTGCTTGTATTGCGACTGTAGCCGACTGTTAAAATGCCCCCCCGGCCAAAAATAATGTTATTATCAGCAACAGACACTGGGCGGGGGGGTGTTCCCCGGGAATCTACACCATATATTACACATCGCTAATTGACCTTCCGCTCCCTCCGGCCTTACAGCTCAGGTAACCTCATCACGCACACCCTGCCGCGCCGTCTCGCCGGCCAGCCCCGTTCTGTCTCCGCGGGCTCCGACAGCCGGCCAAAGGGCCTTCCATCTAACTGTCAGCGGCTTCCACTCAGCTCTTTAGAAGCAATTATCAACAGCCTGGATTCCTGGCCCGTCTGTCCCCCACCCTTCGTGCTCTCTGAACTTTCGGCCTCTGCAGACCTTCAAATGCCATGGCTGACAAGGGGATCCCTTGCTTGTTTGTGGCCATGACTTCCTTGCAAAGGCCTCTTTTGGGGTCATTTTTATGGCTGCTGTTTGTGGGTGGGGTGGGGCTCCGTAGCTTTTTTTCGTGCCACGGGAACACGGATAAGTGAGAGCAAATCAGCAGTACAGTGAAGAGTTCTGCGGTTGCTGCCGGCATAGATTTTATAAAGAAGAAATGGACTAAAATGCAAAGAACTGGTTCAAAGGACACATGACGGTGACTTGGTGGGCCGAGGTCACTGAGCTATGGGAGAAGGTTCAGCGAGGGAAAGTGAGAGTGTTCTCCATCAGTCCGTTCCAGAATGAGAACCCAAATCCCACCCTAAAACATATCCGAGAAGACTCCTACTGGCTTCCTACGTCACAACTGTCCTATAGCTCCATCTCATCTTTCAAGGGACGCAGTCACTTAAGAAAAGCTAAGGGATATTTCTACAATAACAGTTTGCTGAGTGGCAGCCAACGGAGCTGCTGCCACTTGGACTGGGTCCTCTGAATGTTCTCTGCCCAGTACTGGCTGGAGGACGTGTGGCAAGGCCTTCCCTATAAAAAGGAACCAGGCAGGCCTGAGGGCACGGACATGCCCCCACACTCCCCAGCTGGGCCCCGACACCTCCGACTGCAGCTAGGACCTCAACCAACCTGGGGAGGGGTTGGGGAAGGGTCTGCCTGGTGAGGGGCTACCTTGGTCGTTGGCTTGCGATGTCTCTGACACGTTGACGGCTAGCTGGCTGCTGAAGGAGTTCACGCCCATCATCCCACTGTGTGCCGGGGTGTTGCCCAGGGTGGGAATCTGGTTGTGATTGCGGGGGACGCTGTACAATGCCTCAGCGATGTCGGCTGCTCGCTTCAGGATGATCTCCTAGAGTAGGGATGCACGGAAGCCTGTCACACAAGGCCAGGCTCCACTGGCCACACAGCCTGGGCACTGTGACCCCGTCCTATGCTCACCTGGCTGGGGCAAACAATAGTGGCATTCCTGGGGCCAGACTGACAAAACCCATTTTTGAATGGGAAAAGAACCTCCCACATGAAAATTATTGAACACTGCTTCTGGGTGGGTACACCTTGCCCTTGGGCCTGCAACCCCAAACCTCTGAGTTATGTACAGACACCAGGACACGTGGAAAGCACTAGACTCAGACTCAAAGGGCTGGGTTCACATCCAGAGGGAATGTGTGTCTGCTCCTCAGGGGCCCCCAGTCTGGCAAGGACAAGTTATGGGGTGCCCGTTTGCCCTCACTAAACTCCAGCAGCACCAGATGCAGCCCACTTGCCACTGAATCAGCAGGTTTGAAAGTTGTGTGCCCCGCTCATGGGCCAGCTGGCCATCCAAGGATGATGGTCACCAGGGGAAGAGGCACATGGTGAGCTGAGCAGATATCCCTACCTGGTTGTTGTGAGGCATTCCATACAAGGCTTCCACAAGGTCTGCGGCCCTCTTCAATAACACTTCCTAAAGAGAAGCAGATGGGGTTTCACTGGGGGAGCTACATGAGCAAGGCTTCTCTTCCCAGAAAGTGCTACAAAGCTCAGTTACAAATGCAAGGACAAGAGACCAATACCCCACCCAAATGGATCCCACCCCGGGCC